GTTCGGACCAATACCCGATCACCATTCACCCACGAGCCCGAATATATAATTTATTTTGAAATCCAACCCCAAAACGAGGTCAAATTCCCAAATAATCAAAAAGCCCTAACTCTACCCAAATCCCTAATTTTCTACCCTTAATCTCATGTTTTAGGCCTAGAAATCTAGTGGATGTTGATAAAAATGGAAGAAAACAAGTCAAAGATTACTTATCCAAGAGGTTATGGTGAAGAATTTCTTCAAAAATCGCCCAAGAGGTGTAGAGAAGAAGAAGAAGAAGTTTGTAAAAAATGGGTTAAATCCCGTAATGCATTCTATTTCCGGACTCTTAAAATAACTGGGCGAAATTGGTCTTCGCGTTCGCGATAGCTCAATGCGTTCATGATGCGTTAGGCCTGACAGACCTTCGCGTTCGCGATAATAGGCTCACGTTCGTGGATAAGTAACTCCCTGAGCCTTCGCGTTCACGCCCAGTTGGTCGTGCTCGCATAGGTATAAGTTTCCCTCCCCCTGACCAGGCCATAAGTCTTCGCGTTCGCGATACCAGGCCCGCCTTCGCGAAGGGAAAACCCTCCAAAGCTTCGCGTTCGCGACCTGGGTCTCGCGTTCGCGTATAAGGAATTTTCCTTCAGCACGATTAACTCATCGCGTTTGCGAGGGTCCTCCCACGAACGCGAAGAAGAAAATACCAGAATACCAGCAACTAAAAACCTGCAACTTTTTAAGAGTTTAAAACCTTTCGAAACACATCCGAAACTTACCCGAGCCCTCGAGTCTCCAAACCAAACATACGCACTAACTCAAGAACATCATATGAACTTATCCGTACGATCAAATCGCCAAAATAACATCATTAACATTGAATTAAACCTCAAAATCAATGAATTATTTCAAAACTTCTTAAAACATCAAACTTTGCTTTTAAGGTCCGAATCCCGTCAAACGAATTCCATTTCTTTCCAAACTTTATAAAATTATCTTAAATCACATATAAGACTTGTACCGGGCACCGGAACCAAAATACGGGCCCGATACCAACATGTTCTAATCAAAATTCATTTCCAATTCCTTTAAATAATTTCAGAAAATAACTTTCTTCAAAATTCATTTCTCGGGCTTGGGACCTCGGAATTCAATTCCGGGCATACGCCCAAGTTTCATATTTTTCTATGGACCCTCCAAGACAGTCAAATCACGGGTCTGGATTCGTTTACCCAAAACATTGACCGAAGTCAAATTAATTCATTTTTATAGTCAAAATTTATCATTTTTTACAGATTTTCACATATAAGCTTTCCGGCTACGCGTCCGAACTGTGCATGCAAATTATGGTGATTCTAAAAGAGGTTTTTAAGGCCTCAGAATGTAAAATTTCATTTAAAATAAGTGATGACCTCTTGGGTCATCACAGAAGGTGCATGGGTTACACATCCTGAAGTTGGGTACACAAAGAATATATTGCACAGTTTGTCAAGGTATGATCCAGACTTGCTTTCTTATATAGATATAGCATCCGAATTCATAGTTGAGATAGGATTCTTAGGGGTTCAACAACTTATAGTTGCTGGACCTTCTGGTAAATTGTATGAGGTTAAAGGGGATGTGGGGATTAGAAAGTTGACATCCTTGATTTTTAATGAATACTAGTTCTTCAGCATGTGCATTGCACGTGGAAGCTGAATCATGTAGTACATTTGTAAAATAATATTAATATTCATAAAATAAAACTTTGAGTAAATAATTATACATGAAAGAATAAGATGTAAGTTTC